GTTGCATGGATTGATAGATTTGCTAGGTTGCTGGCTATTCTGGAATTGTTGTATTGGAATTAATGTTGGTTAGTTGGAATTGGTTATTGTTGTTTGGTGAACTGGTTATTTGAATGGTTTAGTTGAGTTTGCTTCCTCTGATGTTTGAATGATGTTTGTTGTTGGTTTGATTGGATGTTGAGGATTAATATTTATGAGAATATTAATCCGGGTACAATGTTAATTAAAAACAAAAACGGGTCGATTGTTTCACTGAAAGGAGAGCTTCAAGGGTGAATGTTGAAAGAGATGGCTCCCCATCAACAATGACTCCCCCACGTGGCAGCGACCAAGACTCTGGTTGCTGTTATTACATCTGACGGGGAAAGAACTATAGTGTTACTCAAGCTGTTGGTGTTCCTCACGAAATAAATTTCCGAGCTCAAGTTTAAAGAATGCATACCGCTGGGCAGTAAAAGGAAGCACACACCATTTGTTTTTGGTTTAGGACTCAGTAGCGAAAAGAAATTCAAATATAGCTGAGATTTAACTTACAACATTGCATGCATGATGACCACTAATCCAAAATCCATAGCCACATTAGCCATGCAGTTTAGGAGGCCGAAATTAAAAATTTTCACTCTCCATCAATTTGATGTGAATTGATGACCGAGTATTATCTTCGCTTTGCAAAATTCAAGTGCCCAAATTAAATAAACCATAATGGGTCTCACTCCTCAGATTGCGAAATTGCAAATCACGGAAGAAGAAAATGGTGAAGCTCTAAAACGAGCTAAAAAGCATTTTGCTCAGATGAAACGCTTAGAAGTGAAGTACATAGACACCGAGATATCGAAGGACGATTATAAGGAGAAAACGGCTAATACCGGCAGAAAAGTTTACGATCTCAAAGATAAGATTTAGAGATGTAAATCAAATTACAGGCGCTTGTTCGCACTCGAGAGCATGATATAGAGAAATTTACACATGTCGAAGAAAGACATAACCTCAATGTAAAATGAAGTTCTCGAGTAAGTGAAGTCCCACCTTTTAGGAAGGGATGTTGCTCCCAAGCCCTTGTATCTTGCTGCACAAACGAAAGCTAACTTTGATATTTTGGACGAGTTGATCAAATGTGACATTGCAGATTCAAAAGCTAAATTTCCGTAGTTGCTAAAAAAAAAAAAAGATGTTGCAAAGATTCTAGTTGATGTTGTAATGATTTCAAAGCTCGACTTGGCACAACTCGAGCTCTTCCAACTCTATGATTCCTATTGGGAGCACAAACTGACCCTAAACCCACCCGCTTAGTTTCAAAATTTGGACGAATTTGGGACCAATGCCGGATGTGTTCTCGGTGAAATACGAATTGAAAACCAAGTGGATTCGGAAAACATTTGATTCATCATTTTTTTTGTTGGACTTGTTCCCTTTTTATTTTTATTGTTTCTATTGGATTTTCGGATTAGAACTTGGAGATTACAATCTGCCATTCGTTCTTACTTTTTTGCTTTTATTATGAATGACCTTTTGTTTCTCGTTAAACTCTTGGAGTCCCGACTGATTCTACAGTAGAATTTCTACTTCTCTAATCCAATTGGAGCTTAACCAATTTAGTAGCTCACTGAAGCTTTATTGTGCAAGGAAAATAAAAGAAATATAGTTATATTAAAAACACCAAAGAATAAATCATCGTTGTGCTAAGCAAGCGCAACTCCAAGTCTATGACAGCAGCTTACATACCCTGATGTAACATTCCAACCATCTGTTTATCTACTTATCGCCATGTCTCTTGACCTATTCTTGGTCTATGGATCATACTACCATTCTATTATTGGGTTCCTATTTATGAAAGCTCGTATAATATTTGTTGTTGTTACTCATGCATGATTCATCAATTTTTAAAAGGATTATATTACTAGTATAACAGGCTGGATCTATAGCAACCAATCAGGCGTGAAGCTCTGGCAATCCTCATAGCTACCCAACAAGCTAAAGAACCATGTTACAAAAAACTTCTTAACACTTCCGTGTCACAATAGCTAAC